AGGAAACAAAAAGGCTAGTTTGGATTATTTTTCCCTTTGGAATGCGAGTTCATCTATTCACAGAAAAGATTTAGAAATCATATGTTTTGGGTTATTTTCTCTAACTGCAGCAACATGCTGTAGAATACCCACACCATATTATTACTTAATAGTTAAGATTTTTTTTCAGGTAAGTTTGTACTTTCAGAATAGTTTATCAGATGCTATTAATGAACCACCATTAAGGCTGCACGGCTGTAGTGTGTGGCAGATGAAAGCGGCTGCAGGGCCCTGATTACAGGCATTAAAACGGTGTGTATTGGTTCACTGCTGCTTCCCAGCAGGTTACCTCACTCATAATTCCTTTGCATCTAGTCTCAGCAGGAGAAGATTGACAGGATTGAAGACCATGTCAACAGTGCTGCTGTGAATGTTGAAGAGGGAACCAAAAACTTGGGGAAGGTAGGGATCTGCTCCTGCTGGTGAATCAATGGTGCTCTGCCTCCCAGCAATCCTCTGTATTAACCCAATTGATCTGCCATCTTTAATGCTGAGGGAGCCAGCAATTAAGGAAATAAGGAAGAAATGACCCACAGGTAGCAGGGGGAAGAAAAAAAATCAATCTCTCTCGTAATTTTCTATCACATCCAGGCTAGTAGGAATTTTTTTTTTGCCTTTTTTTTAATGCTATTCTGATGCTACTTTAGTTTACCTGCAAAGACAAGCACATTCAACAATTGGCTCACGAGAATCAAATAAGGGTAAAAGAACAGGTTGATGATAACATGCAATTTCAGTCCCATTCTATGTATTGTCAGTGACAGTTGCTAGTAAGCCTCAAACCAAGATTTGGGCATATTACTGAAAAGTCTGAGCATTTTCTCAGTTTCTCCTCTGATTTAATGATGGTAACCAGGTAATAAACAGTGTATAATAATCAACCAGAATCACATGAAGGGACCTGGATCGCAACTGCATACATGAGATAGCTCAATTTTGAATTGTTTTTAGTACATTCTGTCATACATGTGGGATAGTACATAATCTTTTTTTAAATACTAATTTGTAAACTTTATTATCACTGAGCATTCAAGTCACTGCCAAGAGCAATGAGGGGAAAATGCACATCACCACAGGCACGTATTCTAACTCTTTTTTTTTTTTTTCCCTTTACAGGCTGCAAAATACAAGCTGGCAGCTCTGCCTGTGGCAGGTGCAGTCATTGGTGGAGTGGTGGGGGGTCCTATTGGTCTCCTTGCAGGCTTCAAAGTGGCAGGAATTGCAGCTGCACTTGGTGGTGGGATTTTGGGTTTCACAGGTGGAAAATTGATACAAAGAAGAAAACAAAAAATGATTGCACAGGTCTCTTCCAGCTGTCCAGAGCTTTCTCACCCAAGTGCCAAAAAATCCAGCTGAAGTATAGATGCATTATGACAAGGAACAAAAGTGTAGTAGCCACGCTGATGACAGCCTTGGAGCCTTGTGCTGTAAATACAAGGCTGAGTTGTATGAATTTTGATGACAGTAATGTTACTTGAGGGGTGAAACAGTAATGTCAAAATTTCTCTTTTCAGATGTGATAAGTGACATCAGTCATTTGAAAATCACATGGATAACTTTTAACTATAAAATTCTTAAGTATACAGCTATAATGATGAGTGACAAGTGCTTCATGCCAAATTTGCAAGTATCTTGCAGGCAATACAAAGAGAGATATTTGGAAAACCCTAGTGCTTTCCCATGAATGCCACCCAGAAGCTGGAGCCTCTATTATAGAGCTCCAAAGGAAAGGAATCAAGCTACTTTATTTTTAATTTGTAAACTCCTCATCTTGTTCAAAGTGTAGTTAAGAATTAAACCATCCAAACAGCAGCCCAGCAGGACTTTTGCTGAAGAATAATGGTTTTCCATGGCTGTTCAGCTCCTTGGCTTGTCATGAGAGCACCATACAGGATGAAGTGCGAAGCTCTGGCATTCTGAGCCCTAGGCCTCAGCTTACTTAAGCAGCTCTCTGTATTAGATGTTGCCCTTGCTTCTCATCTCCTGTCACCAACAGCACTGTGATGGGAGAGCTAAATAGCTTCCCTGGAAGGTGTTGCTGCAGCCAGGCCCGCTCCCTCGATAGTCTTTATTATCCCTCACCAGGTCAAAAGATGGTGAAGCAGTGAGGCCCAGTACCCCTGAAATTGTGCCAGTGGCAGCTGACATCTCCAGATCATGGGATTATTTTGAAAATGTCAACCTGATACTGTTTACAGTAAGTAAGCCCTGCTTTGTTCAGGTCAGCTGTACACCTCCTGTATACTGTTCAGTTCTGAAACTTCTGCTTCCACCCACACTGTAGAGTAGCTTCTCAGACTTTTCAAGATTTTGGGATGTGCTGGGGAGCCTGTATGGAGTGAGATGCTGTTAGTGCTTTTACTAGCTTTTTATAGCAGGTGTCTGTTATTCTTACCATCCTTATTTTGCTGCTTAAGAAGCCTTTTGCTTCTGAAACATCCATTGTTAAATACAGAAATGTTAACATGTTTTTATTGTCACATAACTGTACTGTTGTCACATCTACTCTTCAGCATATGGTCCTACCTCCATTCTTCCAGGACAGTTTCCAGGCTATTGCTGCTACTGTTTGGGGGAACAAAAATTGAGGTGGGAATCCGCTTTTTAAAGTTTTTGAATTGTTCAATCCATCCTGAGCTCTGTTTAAGTCCAGTTTTATTAGGTGAACTCTGAAGTCAGTGTTTTGTGATAAGGGTCCCTATCAGGGAACACTGTATAAGGAAGCACACTATAGAAAGAGCTCCCTTTTCTTAACCAATACTTTGATATCATCACTGGAAATAACTGTCTACTAATGACAGTTGATAGGTTTCTGTGCCTAGAGACACTGTAAGCAACTGTTAGTTACAGCACAAATCTTTTTCTGAACAGTTCTTCCTTATGACTTTTAAAATATCATTGAAATTGCCATCAGTCAGAGCATTGTGTCTATTTTAAGTAGGTCTGAGGCTCAGGGAAGCACCATGTGCAAAAATAATTTTCACAAGCAATCGCGAACATTGTCAAAGCTGCATGTGTTAAAACCACAGTGCCTACATCTGTAAAATCAGCTGGAGTGGAAAACATGACCCAAGTAATTCAGCTCATTTGCTCCTGTCAGGCAAAAAGCGCTTTCCTTAAATGCATCTACTTTCGATGTAAACATATTTCATGAGCTTGTAACAACTTCATACCAAGGCTGTTCATTCCTTTGATATGTATTTCTACATTTTAAAGAAGAAACTAAGAAAAAAAGTTGTACTTAATAAGAAACTGTGGTTGATTCTTTGTGTGATTTTAAAAAGCTGTGTCTGCTTTCCTACTGTATGCTTTGAAACCTTGTGCATTTAAATGACTACAGCCACATCAAAGACATTGTGGACTCCACCCTCTCCCCCCAAGCTGGACTAGTGCCAAGACAATCTAAATTCATAAAACTGAATTCCTGCCACAGCTTATACAAATTCAGCTTGGTATGCACTCATTTTATGAAACATCTAACACAAAAACTGTTCTTCCTCCTTGCATCTTTAAAGAAGCAATTTCAAAACATTGTGTACACACTAGACTTGGGAGGCTATTATTTAAGCTGTGATTTTTAAAAATAGATGGGTTATTTACATATGTGAAGAAACATGGGCATCTGAGTAACCAAGCTATCATTTAAATTGCTAGGCATGTTAGTCAGAAGAAATGTAAGATACATGTAATTCTTCCAGACCAAATAAAAGTTTTTTGCCCATCACACTTGTTGTAGCATTTATTGAGAACATCAGGGTTTATTTCCCTTCAGCATCTAAAAAATTAACCCTCAGAGATTTTTTATTATTAAAGTAATTGCATCACCACGATTTAAGAATCCTGTACTGAGTTACCAAACACATGCTTCAGCTATTGAAATATCTACATTGACTGAAATGAACACAGGTTCCTAAAATGATGAATGCATCTGGTAACTCATATACCTATGCTCGCACAGAAATGGACTCCTTAAGTTCAATTAAAAAGCAAGTTTGGAATGGTTTTATTACATATGGGGATGACATTAATGTTTGACAGCTTCCCATGAAAATCTGGAGAAGTGTTGAAGGGAAGGGTTAGCTGAGCACCAAAGGGTTAAGACCACTGATGTAGATGATCAGAATTAAAGGGCTCAAGTTGAAACACATCTTGCATTTTGCCTAGTACGTGCTCTTTCTAGGCAAATTCTCTATTTCATCAGATATTTCAAAAGTTCAAGTGATACTCAGCGTCATGTTAGGCATACCTAGCCTTTAGCTGTTCAGCCTCCAATGAGTACACAATGAAATGACTTTTGAGTGTCTAACTGTCATAAAACAGTTACAGCTAATTGTCTATTTAGTGCTGGGATGCCAAAGCTCTGGGAACAAGTCCTTACTCAGAAAAGCAAACTTCTGTTATGTGTTTGATGAGATAACATCTCTCTCCATAAAAAGTAGTTTAGACATTTTCCACCAAGCAGCATTTATAAATAAGAATCCCAAGGAAAAATAGGAACCTCAGAGGAGTAAGATAAGTACTTTTAGGAACTATGCAGGAACTGGCTACAATTTCAGGTGTCTGAACAAATCCAGTTCTGTAGGACCACCCGCAGATAAGAAGCAGCAGCCTTAAAACCATACCCTTCTCACATCTTTGGATTCCAGCTGGAAGGTGGTATGACTCTGCTGCCAAAAATGCTTGATGTGGCAAGAGATGTAGAATGGGACAGGAGAAGACCTGGCTTTCAAGCACTTAATGGGCACTCCAAAAATGCAGATTAAAAAAAAAAAAAGTATGCTTGTAAACAAAATATTGCAGCTACCCATTCTGCATCTGCTCAGTTAGCTGTAGCTTAGTGTTGGCTGGTTCTAGCAATTCTCTCCTCAGAATCACTCCCTAGAAAGCTCATGTGCCTGTAGCTGCAGGGGCTTGGTTCACCAGCCTGTCTTGGGATCAGCTTTTGCCACAGCTGCACAGGACCACGTCAGTCTTCTGTCAGTAACTGAGTAGGTGGCACCCAGCTGAGAGGCAAAAGGAATGCAGAGCTGTGAACTGCAGAAGTTGGGGCACTCACTGAAGTAAACATGAACCCAGTGCTCCACCTATCTAAAGAACAAGCTTGCTTCTAAGGAGACTAAACCTTGGGGGCCCAAGTCATGGACCTAGATTCTCTGTAGTAACTGTACCGTACAAATCCAATACTAATTAGTCTCCAGCAATACACCCCAAATTAACTTTTTTTGCCATCTTAACAGTTTCTATATGTTTATCTCACCGAGCAGCTTGAAGATCCATAGTGAAAAGCCCATATTCTAGTATTATGCACAACAGAAAAGCTCACAAGAAAAGTAGTAATTCCTTCTTCAAAGCAGAATTTAAAGAATATGCAATAAATAAGGCACAAGCCAGACAGGGTAACAGAAAATTTGCAATGGTTGTTCAGAAAGTAAACGTCTGCCAGGAAAGCAAGGACCCAAAGGAAAAAAAAAAGACTAATCGTAACACATATAAATACAGAGATTAATTTAAGACTGACAAAACTATGATGGCAGTCCATCCCTAGTCCTCTCCTACTTTGAAAGGCTTCCAACGTTCATATTCTTTTAACACAACTGCGTGGATAATATAACAATCTTAATAATTCTAGGAAATCAGAGCAGGTCAACACAGCCCTTTCATTCAAAGTACAGCCACTATCATTAAAACTTTTCCTCACTCACTTCATATTTTAATAGTCAGAATTATTTAATTGCTTAGACATCTACACTCAGTAAAGCACCACACGAGATTCTGTAAAACTTTAATTTATTCCCCTCCCAAGTATCCAGAATAGAAGACCCTCAAGTTGGAGAAAAATGTGACAAAGAAATAAGATTACCAGGATAGCTGTTCACATGAAGAAGAAAAAGCACATACTACCAAGGTTACACAGAAAACAACCCAAAAGTCCTATTTCATGGGATAGTGCAAGTTAACAGCATGTCTCTGTCAAGGATACCTTCATTTGGATTATAAAAGTTTTACAGAACAGAGTTAGATCACGAGTCTGGATGGGTCTCTGATATTTTACTATAGCATTAGGAACGTACTGTTTGAAAGATGATGTACAGAATGACCCACCAAACAAATGTACTTACAAGCCTGGGGAGAAAAAAATTATTTTTCAGTTTATTCAAAATAAAAATACACATAGAATTATGAAAATATAGGTTTACTATTTCCACCACACAGAAGTCAATGCTGCTGTCGGAAAGGCTTGCAAGATTATTTCAAGTTTTTAAAGTTCATCTTTTTCCCTCAATAAGGTGTACCTATGTTCACTGGGTGCCAGTTTCTGGAATGAGCTTTCTGGTGGGCTGCTTGCTAAATCCTGAATTGCCTGAAAAACAGAACAAACAGCAAAATTGCTTGTTAGACTAATTTTAATAATCAATCACCTCCACTGAAT